CCTCCCTTCCTCCCTTCCTCCCTCCCTTCCTTCCTTCCTTCTTGCCTTTTCTTCTTTCTTCTACACAGTGTCTCGTTGTGTAGTTCAGGTTGGCCTTAAGCTCACTTGGTAGCCCAAGATGCTCTCAAACTCTCAATGATCCTCCTGCTTCAGCCTCCTGAGTGCCGGGATTACAAACTGAGATTACAGGCCTGTGTCACCATGTCTGGATGGGATTTTTGTTGTTGTTTCTTTTCTTTTGCTTTGTTTTTTGAGACAGGGTCTCACTATGAAGCCTCAAACTCACAGTGATCCTCCTGTCTCAGCCTCCCAAGTTCTGAGATTATAGGTGTGCTTGATTTTTTAAAAATGCAGTCACCTTTGCACATCAGGTACCTGAAAGTGTAAATGCACTTTGTAGGTGTGAGGAGGAAGCCACAGGGACTGCTGGGCTAGGTATCCTTATGGGAGGGGACAAGAAAGCTGAAGCTGCCTTCACTTTATAGACTTTTAAAAGCTTTATAAACTTCTAGGATGTTTGCCTTGTACTGATTTGGTAAGTTAGTAACAATCTGTTTTTAATTAAAAATGAAGAGGTGGGGGGCAAGGTCCACCCAGCATCAGGAAGAGAAATGCGCCTACCGCAGGAGTGGATTTGCAGCTTCCTGCCCACCCAGTGTCCCAAGTCATTCTTCCTAGCCTCAGCCCCATCCTCTCCCTGGTGCTTCCCACCATGCTGGCCATCCTTACCCTGCCCTGCCACACAGAACAGAAAACCAGAGGTGGCAGGGGAATAACAGACATCAGGGTCCCCAATGGCCTTGGCCACCGGGTGCAGGTCAGAGGCTGCACCAAAGGCAGGAGCATCCTGTTCCCAGCCCTTCTCCCCAGCCCAAGCCCTGGGACCCCAGAAGTGAGAGGGCGCCTCAGCCCAGCCTCCAGATCACAGTGGGGCCTTACTTGTTCTCCTCAGGCTTGTGACATTCCTGCCCAGGTCCTGTAGGAGGCTTGGCCTCAGGGCTGGCGTCCCTTGGCAGGGTTGGGAAACGGGATCCTGAGCCCCAGTAGCTAGGACAGGGTGAGCTTTTGCACAGATACCTTGAAACACACCCCCACAGACCCCCTGAAATAACCCCTGGAAAGCCAATGGTACCACTGTTACCTTGGCTTTCCAGAGGAAACAGGCTCAGAGAACACATGGATGGCAGGGCTAGGATGGATGCCCCAAGCCTGAGAGAGCTGCACCAGCCCCCACAGGGCCACTGGTGGATGGGGGCTGTGGCCAGCCCCAGTGGCCCTTGCTGACCTGTCTGGCAATGGTCTTCGTCTGCAGGCCCCACTCCATGCTCTGGGGGAACAGGGTTGCCTGTGCCCAGAGGAAGTGGCTGGCGAGTCCCAGAGCAGGAGCCTGCTGCCCTTCCTGCCCTGGAAGCAGGGGTGCTACGTGTGTGCCACACTACACTTCTTGCCCCTTAGCAGGCCTGTGTCTCTTGCAATAGGGCCACTGTGGCTGGAACCCAGGGCCCTATGCATGCTAGGCAAGGGCTCTACCATGGGGCCACACCCTGGCCCCTTTGCAAACTTTCTTGTGCTCTTGATGATTTTTCCCCTTCCATGGTGCTCTGGAAAGAGCCCTAGGAGACCTCACCCAGCTAGGAGACCTCACCTGCCACCCAGCTCACAATCTGAGGCCAAAGCCAAGACTGAGCGAGAGCACAGTGTGCCCAAGGACCTTCCTGGGGTGTCAGCCTGGCTAGAAGCCCTGAGTGGGTCCTCTGGGGTCCAGAGGCAGTCTGCAGGAGGGGCCTCTGGGAGAGACAGGTAGGAGTCAGGTCTCCAAACCAGCCCCATGAATGCTGCTCCCAAACCTCAGTGGTTCTTTGCCAACATGGGCAGTGAGATCCACAGCGGTGGCCCCAGGCAGAGCTGACCGTACCCAGGGTGCCTGGTGTCCTGACCCTGTCCACATCAGTGAGGCTGCCGCTGTGTGAAATGACTCTGGGTCTCTCTGGGCTCCACAGGCCAAGAACGGGGTATGGGCAAGGCATCCCACTCCTCCTTGATATGTGGGACCCATTGTTTTAAGTAGGGATTAGGGGGTATCTTCTGCCCACCGCTTACCTTACGACAGCTGCCCAGTGGGGAGGGGATCCTCAGCTTCACCACCGGAGCCCTAAGCAGACCTTAACCAGCTGCCAGACTTGTGAGGAGGCATTTTTGCGCACCCAGAGGGAGTGGCTAGCGAGTCTCAAGACAACTGTCTGAGCCACCTCAGCAGCAAATACCACACCTCAGGGCTGGGCCAGCATGTGCTGGAGGATGAACGAGGAAGTGGCCACCTCCGGGAAGGGGGATGAATCCTCTCAGGGCCACAGTTTCCCAGACCCTTGGACACACCTACTGTGCAGGTGCAGGGTGCTGTGAGCAGGGAGGGGCAGAGCAGGAGCCTGCTGCCCACCACGGGACAATGCCAGGATGCCAGCTAAAGAGGACATCACCGTTTAAAACAATGGATCCCACATATCAAGTGCCAGCCATGCAGTGGGCATAGTCTATAATCTCAACACTCAGGAGGGTGAGGCCCAGGCATCTCAAAGTTCAAGGCCAGCCTGGGTTCAGCCCTCACCCTGCTCCCCCCACTCAGGGTTCTCCTACCTCTCCTCACTTGGGCAAACCTCCAGGGCCTGCCTGGCACTGGGTAGGGGACATGTGCAGTGCTGCTGCGGGCCAGCCCCTGGCCTCTCCTGAGCAGGTAGGGGTAGGAGGACCTGTGCCCCAGTCACCCAAAGCCCTCAGCAGGACTGCCTACATTGTTTGGGGCGCCTTGCAGCCTTTGTGGTGGGAGAACAGAAGCACATGAAGTTGGTGAGAGTGGAGCAGGAAGCTAAACCCAAGGCTTCCGTCCACATGAATGTGCTCTTGAGACCAGAGACCCAGAAGCCCAGGACTGTGACCTCAGCCTCTCCACAAGGGAGAAAGGGCTGGGTTCCTCCTGGGCGCTCTTCTCCCTTGGTGCAGGCCAGGTCCTCAGGCACAGCTCAGGTCTGATTCTCCCTGACTCAGTCTCCCATGGATGGGGCTACCCTCGTGGCCCGACGGTGGGTCTGTTCCTCCCATTTCACAGGTAAGCAAGATGAAGCTGTGACTGAAGGGCTCCGGCCACAGCCAGGGACAGTGCAGGACTCACTTCTATGTCTCCAGTGGGCCACCCTTTGCCCTCCTTTCTGTAAAGTGATCAACTCCAAGGCTAATAGGTAATTTAACTGCCAAATGCTTTGGAATTTGACCCCTGGACTAGGAAGATGAGGCGGGATAGAGGAATCCCTTGCCCATCCTACCAGGTCCATTCCTGCAGGGTGCAGGGCAGGAGCTCCTGAGAAGTATCTGACTCAGCCCCATCTCCTGGGGGAGCACAGCTGTAGCACACAGTAGGGTGGCCTTGGTGTAGAGGGGCACATGCACCGGGGGCTTGGCCTGGGAGGAACCGCAGCCAGCCCTCTGGCCACCATGTTATGGGCCGTGTCCACGAAGGAAGCCATAGTCCCAACCCTGGACGCATGACCACTCCAGACAGTGTCCAGAAAACGCATTTACCCGTACACTCCGGAGACGGCTCTGGTAGTTATGCTCAGAGGCCCCTGTGCCCCACAAACCCGAGGCTCCTGGCTCCCCTGACCGGAGCCCCAGTCTGAGAAGGTGGCACCAGAGGTGGCTGGGGTGGACCGGCTCAGGTCATGCTGCTGGTGAGTGGGGCCACTAACCCCAGGGCAAAGGCCACTTGAGAGACCTGGTGGTGGGCTGAACCCCAAAATCAAGATGTGATTCCTTGGGAAGTGGGAGTGGGGAAGGTGCCCCTTCAACCTCCCTCAAGGCATAGCGCTCCGGGTGTCCCCAGATTAGGGCAGGAAAGAGCCCTAGGTTGACCCGGCATGTGGCAGGAGGCAAGAGGCATAAATTAAATGTTCGAGGAGTCATGTGGTGGCCCAGGATGGGATGAGGGCCTGGCGGAAGTGAGGCGGCTAGCTGCCCACAGCAGCTACTAGGCCCTCCAGGATGGGTGGGTGAACACAATCGGCCTCTTCTTGGCCCAGCGCGAGAACACGGCCTTCTCGGTGATGAAGCGATGGGCACTCCGCGGCGCGCGTTCGTGAGCCAGGTACATCTGGCATTCATCCAGCCGGCCCTTCTCAAAGTAGTGGTAAGGCACCGAGGGGGGGCTCTGCTCCCTGTAGGGTGGGACACGGCCAGTGGGGACACTGTCATCTCCCCTGCACCAACCCTGGGAGACCCAGGCTTGGTCCTCGGTAGCGGGCCCCTCTTTCCCCCCACACAGAGGCAGCCAGCCCTGTGCCCTGCGGCCTAGGGACCCTCAGCAGGCCACAGCCCACCAATCAGGCCAGGGCTGGATGCTTTGAAACAAGTTCCAAAGTGAACACAGGTGTGAACACTTGTGAACTGTTTACAGTAACACTTGTCAACACTGAGGTATAATAATGTGACAAGGTTGCAAAATACCCTCTCTGGAGCTGAACTGGATGTTAGAAAGCTTCGACAGTAACAAAAGTAAAATTTTATCTGTAATCTACCAGAGATACATGTTCGATAGCTACACATCCCCTGTTTTTAGAAGGCACTTCTTAGATATGCCCTCTAAATGGTTAAACAATCTTCTCAGAAAGATTGTAATTTTTTTCCCCAGTGCTGAGGATGGAAACTAGGAACTATGGCCTCAAGCATGCTTAGCGAACGCTTTACCATTAGCTATACCTCTAGCCCAGAAAGTTTAGAGTGTGTGTGTGTGTGTGTGTGTGTGTGTGTGTGTTACCGAGGCTTGAACCCATGGCTTTCACACTGAGCTAACTCCCAGCTCTTTTTGAGACAGGCTCTTGCTAAGTTTCTCAGGCATGACTCAAACTTGAGATCTTTTTGCCTCAGTGCCCTGAGTGCTGGGATTATGAGCCTGTGCCACACAGCCCAGCTTAGAAAGCTCAATTCTTTCCTCTATTTTATACCCAAAGAGGCACAGGCTCCAGGAGGAGGCAGGCAGCCCGGGCTACCCCAGCAGTGGTGGGGTCTGGAAAGGAGCCTTTTCCGGGAACTGAGCACTTTTCCTGAGGTCTGGTGCCCACAGGTTTCTGTACCTCTGCCACGCAACCCCCACAGCTCCCGGATCCCCTGGTAGGGGTTGGGTGCCCACACTTCCCTCCTGTGGGCGGCATCTCACCTGCAGTAGCTGTCGCTGACCATCCCATAGACCACGATCTCCTCACACAGCTCTAGAGCCAGGATCATGGTGAACCAGCCAGTGCTGAGAAATGACCCCGACTGCCTCCTGGGGGACACAGGGAACTGTCACGGAGACTGCTGATACCCCAAGCTCATGAGGCCTCAGCATGGTGCCCCGCCATGCATGGGGGTCCTGGGGAAGCCCAAGGCCACTGGCAGACAAGAGGAAGAGCCGGCTGCAGAGCTGGCTGCACCCCCTCCCCATCCAACAGAGCTAGACCAAGTCCAGCTCTGCACCCAGTATGTTGGGTGTGGATTCTGGGCGGATCTTTCCTTATCTAGGAGGCCAGGTTGGGGGAGACAGGTAGTGGCCAAAGAGCATGTGGTTAAAGGTGGTGGAATAGATGAGCATGATAGCACATGCCTGTGATCCAAGCTGTTCAGGTGATTGAGGCAGGAAGGATCCTAAGTTCATCGACAGCCTGGGCGGCCAGAGAGATAGCTCAGAAATCTAAGCACCTGCCTGGCAAGTACAAGGACCTGGGTTCAATCCCTGGCACTGCATGCCATGCCAGCCCCGCCTTGGGCATGCATTGCCAGCCACTGAGAACGGGCATGATGGCACACGCCTGCAATCCCAACTCTGGGGAGGCTGAAACAGGAGGATCACTATGAGTTTGAGCTGTGTAGCAAGACCTTGTACCAAATACATAAAATTAGGGGGCCTGCCCCTTAGCTCAGTTCTTTAAGTGGCTGCTTCAACAAAGAAGTCAGGCTCAGGTTCGATCCCCACAACTCAAGCCAGCCAAACCTGCCCTGAAGGCATTCGGAGCAAATACATAAAATTAAAAAAAAAAAAA